GCATCCATATATCCTAACGCTTCTTAAATTTAAGAGCAAAGTGAAATACGATCTAGATCATAGATATACATCACTTATGAACGACCCAATAGACATGAAAATGAATAAAAAATAAGATTTCATTATTAACGATGAGAAATACGAGAAAAAAAGTTTTTTCTTCCTTTTTCCTGCTTTCTGTCCCAAAAGGGTAGATCCTTTGCTGTATGTTAAACTCTGTCTAAAAATAAAATGAAATGAAATACGATAGGAAGTTTAGATCATTTCGTCATCTTCACAAAAAACTTTTCCTAATTTAATAAAATATCTCAACAATTTACCAAAAAAAAAAATATCGAAGCATAATAATAATAATTTGCATAAGTAGAATAATTTCAAACAGAAATCAGCCCTCAGAGTATAAGTAAGCACAAAGGACATTGAAATATCAGAGCCATCGCCTAATAATATATTTCTGTTTCAAAAGCTTTAAATTTCATCCTTTCTATAGGATAAAATGGAAATGGCTTAAAATTAATGTTTAGACTGAAATATATTGCAAACATGAGAGCTATGCAATTGTTAGAGATGAAGCAAGCAATATCATCTTGGTAGTTATTAATTTTTTTCACGTCCATACTGTCGGGAGAGCAAACAATAGCCAATAATTTTTATATCGAAATCAATAAGTTCCATTCTTTACTCTACTTTATCATATCTCTCAGTATTGCATTGGTATGTTGTGATACATAGTTCCTGATATTTTGTTTTTGGTATTTTTAATTAAAAAATAATTTATGAACGCATTGAAATGTGATGAATGGCATTTAAATAAATTATTAGTTTTGTACATGTAAGCATGGGGACTCAAAAAAGTATGGAGAATTCATTTGATGTATTCATTGATGGTTTTTATCAGTGTTGCATTCTGGCTATTTGTCTGGATCAGATAAATTCTGAGACAGAAATTTCTTCATAAAATCGATTCTACATGTAGAAAGAAAAAAACCATCTACATGTAGATTGTGTCTACATATAGAATCTGTCTACATGTAGATTTAATGTAGATGTCTACGATTCTACATTCTTCTCTGATGTAGACCTGGAAAAAATGTAGAATTATAGACATCTACATCGAATCTACATGTAGACAGATTCTACATGTAGACACAATCTACATGTAGATGGTTTTTTTCTTTCTACATGTAGAATCGATCTTTATGAAGAAAGTTTCTTAGCTAGACAAAAACTATTGAAGAATCTACATTCTTCATCTAGTGTAGACATCTACATTTGCAACACTGGTTTTTATCGTTGATCTGGTAGAAGTTGGACTAAGTATACAGGTTCATTTATAGCTTTCAAAAATTCAAAATAAAAAAATTTAATCAAGTTCAATCTATGCCTGAATCTATTGTAGTTTTTTTAAACAAGCTGACATGAAGACATCTCATTATCCTTTGACTTTTTACAATCTATGCTTTTCCAATTAAATTGTTTCCAACCTCTTTTATCTTCTTTCTGGGTATAAGTTATATTCGTTAAAATTCCACGACCTTTTCGAACAATCTTCAATCCAATCTTTTCTAATAATTGGGTAGCAAAAGTTTTCAAAATTTTACTTGCAATTTAAAAAGTTTCTTCCGGAAAACAATTAAGCTGTATATTCACCTATGATAAGTTCAATCAACATTAAGGCTGAAAAATGTTTTATCACGAGTGAAGCTGAAAACATAAAACCTATAACTTTTGATTAAAAGTCGGTATACTGCAATATTAGGTTGATGGTATTAGACATACCAAAAAAATCCCGGGGATCACTTAAAACCCGTCCTTACATTAATAGTTTTAGTTAAAGTCACAAGAAGCTTCTCAGTAACCCCTGAGCATGTGACAAAAAGCAAAAATAATGTCCAAAGAAACCTTTTATTTAAAAAGCAACGAGAAATCTAGTCATCAAAGTTCATAGCTACTAAATATCTCCGTTTAAAGAGATTCACTTATTTTAAACTTACACTACCTTGATCTATAAAATATAAATTGTATCCAACCAATATGAATATCCGATTATCTCTAACTCATTTTAAAAACTAATAAAATTACTAGAACGAATGCATTCAAACTATTTTAGTGCATGCCATGAAAATTTGATAACAGATGAAAGTTTGCATAATTTTATCTCTCAACATGATCAAGAAATATAAAAATATTGAGTTTGTTCATGTTTAAAATAGGAAGTAAAGCACAGACATGTGTGTATTCAATCGGGAGCTTTAGTACAGTAATTTTATTTGCATAATCAATCGGTTGCTTGTAAATATAATGCTAATCATACTCATCCAATATTTGCCATAAATTTAATGCTTCAGGAAATCGAAAAATGTGACTTTTTAGCAACATGTGTCCGTATGTTATAAAAATCTTCAATATGATAATAAAGTTGAGCTTTTGCGAGAGCTTTTGCTCTCAGTAAAAAAAATTCTCTCAAATGTTCTCATTTTTTGTAGTAAAATATCCTTTAAGTACATCGCATTGCAAAATTTTCAACCAAGTTTCGAGTTATCATTCGTACAGTCAACATGTACCACCAGTTGCTTAGTACTGTTGATTTTAATAATTAAAAGGTGAAAGCAGTTTATAAATGTAGAAGTAAATTGGATTTTTAGTGCTCTTGTTGTTTTTCTTGCTCATTCCGAATGACAAATTAAAAGTGAACCCTGAAACACCTAGAATAGAAATAGAGTTCTTAATTTGGTGGAACTAACCCATATTCATTAGAATATCGCTTACTCTAGTTACTGTGCTTTTATCCATGCAAAAATGATGAATAATAAATTCCATTAATTTTACATGTCGTTTGATAATTAATTATTTATGCGTTTACATTCACCTCTGTTCTTTCAACATATCTCCTTCACCGTAACACGATTGCATTGGATTTTATTTTTCAGGACGACTGAGAATATACATATTTCCTTGTATATATCAAATGCATGCAAAAAATAAATATGAAAAACAAGGGAAGCAAAAAATCGGGTGCTTTAAGATAAATAAACATTTCCTTTCACTTTTTTTTTGCATGAAATAAATTCAAACAAAGAATATAAAAAAAATCGTGTTCAAGAGTGAGTTTATAATATTTTTTGCGTTGCTGTTATACAGTCTGCTGGTGAAGTGGCTGATGTGCTTTAAGGAATAACCACAAATTAAATGTGTAAAAGTATAAGGAAATTGAAAGCAGTTTTTATGTGACAGTAATTTTATTGTGTGTGTGCATCAAAAATAATGTGAAATGTTTGTGAGGCAAGCTGGAGATTTATAGTTGACCTAACATTTAACAAATTGAATATTTAATTTATTTCAAATTAGTTTTTTTAATATAAATTTGAGGACCTTCAAAAAGGTATCCTTTTTTGTTTGAAAGTGCTCCGAATTATTGGGTCATAAATATGCTTTAAAATTTAATGGGAAGGAAAGTTTAGCTATGCATTTCCATGCTATAAAATTTTCAAGTTTATTTTAGCATCGAGTGACTGAAATGAAAACATTTGCTCATAAATGAATTCAAATTAATCCAGTTCTTCTAGATGGAAATTTCATTTAATTTTTCGATTTCGATGCCACTCAAATTTGTCAAAATTTGAAGCATGTCTATTAAGCTTAAAGTTTGAAAAATTTTAGACAATTCCAATCTTCATGGAAAATATTCTTAAAGTGAAATGAAGGAAAAATAAAAACATATAAAAAAGTTTTAATAGAAAACATTGTAGCTTCAGGAGTTTTCCATGCAAATTCAATTTACAGCTTTGCAGGAAATTTGTATAAACAAGTTCGAGCAATTTCAATATTTTTGATCTTCTGCAAATTAAGTAAACTTTTCACACTTAGCATAAATTATGCATAGAATTCGTCGAAAAATAATAAATTTGAAATTCTAGAAGAGCTGGATCATAATGTTAAAAGTTCCATCCCATTAGACTGAACATGAAATGAATTCTCTTGTAATTTCATATTTCAATGATCAACAGAAAGGAAAAAAAAAACTAATTGGATAAAAATCAACAGATAATTTCATTCTACAAAATTACTTAAAAAATAAGAAGGAAAAGAATTTCAAAAAGTTGAAGTAACACACAAGTGAACACCATAGAAATGTCAGTAACAGTGAAAATAAACAGATTCCATTTGCCTAAGGCGAAAGCTAATTTAATTGGTAGAATTGAGTTTAGAGGTGAGTACAATAAAAGCTGTTTTTTTCTATCCCCGACCTTGAAATAATAATCCATAACATATACAATGATTATAGTAATAGGCTAGACAATGACAATTCACATATCTTTTCTCTTACTTTTCCCATCAAGAATGAATGAATGAATTGGATGGAATATAATAAAACATATGGATGAGTGAACATTGGGCATCATTCATAAATGACGTGGTTATTAAAGCGAGAAAATTAAATTTCCTTGTCTATAATCATACAATAGAAGTTGTTAAAATATCTTAGTTTTAAAAGACGTCATTTATTAAGGTCCTAACACTCATGTGGAGAATTAATTGTGTTAATGAGGCAATCGTAATGTAATTTTGATTAGCAAATTAATGATACGAACGGCTTATAATTTATTAAATTATTTGCTTAATGAAAGTTTGCCGGAAAGCAATAAGAAACGTCTGCTGCTTTCATTATCATACTTTTGATCGTATACATTGCCTTCAGGTGCATTAAATTCAATTTTATAAAGTTTGAGCAAAAGTTTATATCGCACAATGGTTAAAAAAGATATAAGGGTATGGTTTATAATTTTCTTCGTGCACACAGAAAGCACAGAGAGGAGAGAAAGCAACAAGAAGACAATTTTCTTTCTCACTTTTTCACAATTTTCCTTAAGCTCATCTTGTGCGACAAAAAATAAGATAAATTTGAGGATATTCAAAGGAAGGGAAGTGCGCAGGGAAATGAAATTGGAAAGGAGGTTTAAATTTATAAAATCTTCAATAACCATAATTTTAATTTTATCTTTCTTCATGAGTTTCTTCCACCTTTTTCATTCTCTTTATTTCTTCCTTTCTTTATCATGAACTTCTACAAACATATTAAATTGAGTTGAAATAATAATGAAACAAAGCTATATAAATATCTAACAAACGATGACATCAAAAATTTTAGAAGGAATCATAAAATTATTTAAAAACGGAGCATGTCTTTTTAATCAGGATACAGTAAAGTTTCTAACCAAGAATACCGCCAATGAGAGTTTCGAGCGATGATGCGTTGATTCTAGCTTGTCTACAAATGTTACCCTCGGGCAAGCACTTTGCTTCGTTACCCAATAGACGTATGCTGTCGTAACAGTATCTTAATGAATCTTCAAGCATTGCTTTACAGTTTGGATCCTTCACTTGCATTGCACGACGACCTGCTTCTGCGAGTGAAGAATGAAATTCAAATTTAATCAATCCAATAACTCGTGCCTCATTTGGAACAATTTTCTCAATCAGGTCAATTAATTCCTTGCAAATTTTACACTTTAACTTTAGACGTTCATCGGATATTTTTTGTATTCCATTAATTCCAGCTCCAATAATTTGCGATAAAGCAACTTTAACATCCGTTATATAAAAATGATTAGGCGATAGCCATTTGGAGTAATGCTCAATAAACTTGATACAATTTCCCTCATTTTCTTTCTCCATCGCTGCCAGATCCTTTCCAACATGCTCAATAAATTTATTAACTTTTTCATACGTTACAATGTTGTTACAATTTGCATCTGTGCATCTAATGAAAATAAGGAATAGAAAAAAATGGTATCGATGAAAGGGAATGATGTTATAAAGTGATTTTCTCATTGTGCTTGTTTCAAATGACTTGCAAGGAATGCTCAGCTTTATGAGTTAAAGGATTTAATAAATAATTGAAAACATAAACATAAAGCGAAACAATTTATTTTAGAAAATGAAAACTATTTACCGACTGCAAGCATAGAGCTATGAGAACAAGCTATGAGAATCTTGAAAATATTCCGCAAAAGCATGGTTAAAATTTTTGCTATTATTTCTAGTTATTCTATTTAATGAGATTTTACCTCCAATCTTGACTCCATTCTTTCAAACTGTTTGGTACAAGCATTCCAACATTGCATTTCTGACATTTTAATGAACTAAAATATGTTCCATATTCTGTAACATCTGTACACCTCTCACATTCACATTCAAAGTGCTTAGTTTGCTGTAAATGATGACGACGATTAGATGTCTCCCAAAGTACATCAGTATATGAAATTGTGAGATGTTCCTTAGCTTTTATGCCGTTCGGTGCCCAGAAAATAATTTCATTATTTTCAGAGAAGCTCTTCGATAAATTGGGACGACACGAATGTTCGAAAAATGATGCACGATGATAAATCGCAACGCACGATGGATTTGTCAATGGCAATTCGTGACCATTTATACGTGAAATTCCATTAATTTTTATTATTTCCTCCCTCGTCCACTTGTTACATTTAAAAAATCTGATTGCATAAATAATATTACTTATGAGAATAAGGAATGAATCGTGATGGGTTCAAAATTACCTAGGAATAAATTCAACAACTCGCTCCATATCTGATTTGAATTGTAGATCGTCCGCATCGTAATCATGACTCTGCAATTCCAAAACTTTTTTCCATCGTTCCGTATCATTTTCTTTTAATAAAAGGCATCGAAGTGGTAGCAGACAGCTATATGAAGGATGTGGGGATGCAAAATTCTTTATTACGATCTATCAATGGCAAAAATATATTGATTAATAAAAATCATTCAAATCAGCAATCAGCTTGCCTTATGGATCATTTATTGTTACCTTATTTCCACGTTCGACAGTCAATTTACATTCAAAATTTGCATGAGTTGGACTTTCTTGACAAGCACGACTGCAAACAGGCCATCCACATTTTTCACAAGCTCCATGGTTTTTTTCACGAACTTCCTGAAAGTATAGATTCAAATTTAAGCTAAAGATTCAAAAGATTTTATTGGACCACTAAATGAAAAAACTTTTAAAGTTCAACAAAATAAATTTTCTTAGTGGTTTGAGCACTTGACGGGCAATCGAGAGGTGCGGGGTTTGATTCCCGCTTGGGATAAACCATTGGGCGAATTTCTTTTTTATATTCACACCGTTTTCACGTGTGAATCTATTGGTTTTGTTCAGATTGAAAATTCAGTTTTTTGAATTTTGTGAGGATAGCTTAAAAGCAAGATAGCTTATTTTAAGCAAGATAGCTTAAAATGTTCAGAGATGAAAAGTTTGTGCCTTGAATTTCACATCTTTTGCAAAAAACAGATTTCAAATTGGTTGCGGCATTGATGAGAAAATCGCAAAATATGCTTTCTGTAAGCAAGCAAACAAGCAAACAAGCAAGTTAATCAGCAAGGAATCTCAATAACGAGACATTGTAGAGACTTCTAGTTTTTTACAATTGATCCGTGCTGCTCTATAGAAGAGCTGTATTGTTTTTAGGCAAGGTAGGAAAAGCCGTTGCTTCAGAAAAAAGCAAAAAACTTTTTAAAATTTTTTTGAGCAAAGAACCAAGTAGGAAATACATTTTCAATTATGAACTTGGGACAGGTCTAGTCAAAATCTAGTTTTTCATTTTTTTTTCGAAGGTTTATCCAAATGGATTGAAACTTTACATAAATATTCAAGTGCTTAAAACAAATACAAATAAACCTTCAAAATTGTAATTGGATAAACTTTCGAAGAAAAAAAGTGAAAAACTAGATTTTGACTAGACCTGTCCCAAGTTCATAATTGAAAATGTATATCCTTCTTGGTTCTTTGCTCCAAAAAATTTTAGAATGTTTTATTTGCATTTGTTTTAAGCACAAAAATATTTATGCAAAGTTTCAATCCATTTGGATAAACCCTAGAAGAAAAAAGTGAGAAAACGATTTTGACTAGGGTCGCCCCTAGTCCAAAATTGAAAATGTATTTCCTACTTGGTTCTTTGCTCAAAAAAATTTTAGAATCTCTTGTTTGTATTTGTTTTAAGCACAAAAATATTTATGCAAAGTTTCAATCCATTTGGATAAACCCTCGAAGAAAAAAGTGAGAAATTGATTTTGACTAGACCTGTCCCAAGTTCATAATTTAAAATGTATTTCCTACTTGGTTCTTTGCTCAAAAAATTTTAGGATGTTTTATTTGTATTTGTTTTAAGCACTAAAATATTAATGCAAAGTTTCAATCCATTTGGATAAACCCTCGAAGAAAAAAGTGACAAAGTTGATTTTGACTAGGGTCGCCCCTAGTCCAAAATTGAAAATGTATTTCCTACTTGGTTCTTTGCTCAAAAAATTTTAAGATGTTTTATTTGTATTTGTTTTAAGCACTAAAATATTAATGCAAAGTTTCAATCCATTTGGATAAACCCTAGAAGAAAAAAGTGAGAAATTGATTTTGACTAGACCTGTCCCAAGTTCATAATTTAAAATGTATTTCCTACTTGGTTCTTTGCTCAAAAAATTTTAGGATGTTTTATTTGTATTTGTTTTAAGCACTAAAATATTAATGCAAAGTTTCAATCCATTTGGATAAACCCTCGAAGAAAAAAGTGACAAAGTTGATTTTGACTAGGGTCGCCCCTAGTCCAAAATTTAAAATGTATTTCCTACTTGGTTCTTTGCTTAAAAAATTTTTAGAATGTTTTATTTGTATTTGTTTTGAGCACTAGAATATTTATGCAAAGTTTCAAACCATTTGGATAAACCCTCGAAGAAAAAAAGTGACAAATTGATTTTGACTAGATCTGTCCCAAGTTCATAATTGAAAATGTATTTCCTACTTGGTTCTTTGCTCAAAAAATTTTAGGATGTTTTATTTGTATTTGTTTTAAGCACTAAAATATTAATGCAAAGTTTCAATCCATTTGGATAAACCCTCGAAGAAAAAAGTGACAAAGTTGATTTTGACTAGGGTCGCCCCTAGTCCAAAATTGAAAATGTATTTCCTACTTGGTTCTTTGCTCAAAAAATTTTAAGATGTTTTATTTGTATTTGTTTTAAGCACTAAAATATTAATGCAAAGTTTCAATCCATTTGGATAAACCCTAGAAGAAAAAAGTGAGAAATTGATTTTGACCAGGGTCGCCCCTAGTCCAAAATTGAAAATGTATTTCCTACTTGGTTCTTTGCTCAAAAAAATTTTAGAATATTTTTTTGTATTGTTTTTAAGCACAAAAATATTTATGCAAAGTTTCAATCCATTTGGATAAACCCTCGAAGAAAAAAGTGACAAAGTTGATTTTGACTAGGGTCGCCCCTAGTCCAAAATTGAAAATGTATTTCCTACTTGGTTCTTTGCTCAAAAAATTTTAGGATGTTTTATTTGTATTTGTTTTAAGCACTAAAATATTAATGCAAAGTTTCAATCCATTTGGATAAACCCTCGAAGAAAAAAGTGACAAAGTTGATTTTGACTAGGGTCGCCCCTAGTCCAAAATTGAAAATGTATTTCCTACTTGGTTCTTTGCTCAAAAAATTTTAGGATGTTTTATTTGTATTTTCTTTAAGCACTTGAATATAAGTGCAAAGTTTCAAACCATTTGGATAAACCCTCGAAGAAAAAAAGTGACAAATTGATTTTGACTAGATCTGTCCCAAGTTCATAATTGAAAATGTATTTCCTACTTGGTTCTTTGCTCAAAAAATTTTAGGATGTTTTATTTGTATTTTCTTTAAGCACTTGAATATAAGTGCAAAGTTTCAATCCATTTGGATAAAATCTCGAAGAAAAAAGTGACAAAATTGATTTTGACTAGGGTCGCCCCTAGTCCAAAATTTAAAATGTATTTCCTACTTGGTTCTTTGCTCAAAAAATTTTAGGATGTTTTATTTGTATTTGTTTTAAGCACTAAAATATTAATGCAAAGTTTCAATCCATTTGGATAAACCCTCGAAGAAAAAAGTGACAAAGTTGATTTTGACTAGGGTCGCCCCTAGTCCAAAATTTAAAATGTATTTCCTACTTGGTTCTTTGCTTAAAAAATTTTTAGAATGTTTTATTTGTATTTGTTTTGAGCACTAGAATATTTATGCAAAGTTTCAAACCATTTGGATAAACCCTCGAAGAAAAAAAGTGACAAATTGATTTTGACTAGATCTGTCCCAAGTTCATAATTGAAAATGTATTTCCTACTTGGTTCTTTGCTCAAAAAATTTTAGGATGTTTTATTTGTATTTGTTTTAAGCACTAAAATATTAATGCAAAGTTTCAATCCATTTGGATAAACCCTCGAAGAAAAAAGTGACAAAGTTGATTTTGACTAGGGTCGCCCCTAGTCCAAAATTGAAAATGTATTTCCTACTTGGTTCTTTGCTCAAAAAATTTTAAGATGTTTTATTTGTATTTGTTTTAAGCACTAAAATATTAATGCAAAGTTTCAATCCATTTGGATAAACCCTAGAAGAAAAAAGTGAGAAATTGATTTTGACCAGGGTCGCCCCTAGTCCAAAATTGAAAATGTATTTCCTACTTGGTTCTTTGCTCAAAAAAATTTTAGAATATTTTTTTGTATTGTTTTTAAGCACAAAAATATTTATGCAAAGTTTCAATCCATTTGGATAAACCCTCGAAGAAAAAAGTGACAAAGTTGATTTTGACTAGGGTCGCCCCTAGTCCAAAATTGAAAATGTATTTCCTACTTGGTTCTTTGCTCAAAAAATTTTAGGATGTTTTATTTGTATTTGTTTTAAGCACTAAAATATTAATGCAAAGTTTCAATCCATTTGGATAAACCCTCGAAGAAAAAAGTGACAAAGTTGATTTTGACTAGGGTCGCCCCTAGTCCAAAATTTAAAATGTATTTCCTACTTGGTTCTTTGCTTAAAAAATTTTTAGAATGTTTTATTTGTATTTGTTTTGAGCACTAGAATATTTATGCAAAGTTTCAAACCATTTGGATAAACCCTCGAAGAAAAAAAGTGACAAATTGATTTTGACTAGATCTGTCCCAAGTTCATAATTGAAAATGTATTTCCTACTTGGTTCTTTGCTCAAAAAATTTTAGGATGTTTTATTTGTATTTGTTTTAAGCACTAAAATATTAATGCAAAGTTTCAATCCATTTGGATAAACCCTCGAAGAAAAAAGTGACAAAGTTGATTTTGACTAGGGTCGCCCCTAGTCCAAAATTGAAAATGTATTTCCTACTTGGTTCTTTGCTCAAAAAATTTTAAGATGTTTTATTTGTTTTATTTGATTTTGACCAGGGTCGCCCCTAGTCCAAAATTGAAAATGTATTTCCTACTTGGTTCTTTGCTCAAAAAAATTTTAGAATATTTTTTTGCATTGTTTTTAAGCACAAAAATATTTATGCAAAGTTTCAATCCATTTGGATAAACCCTCGAAGAAAAAAGTGACAAAGTTGATTTTGACTAGGGTCGCCCCTAGTCCAAAATTGAAAATGTATTTCCTACTTGGTTCTTTGCTCAAAAAATTTTAGGATGTTTTATTTGTATTTGTTTTAAGCACTAAAATATTAATGCAAAGTTTCAATCCATTTGGATAAACCCTCGAAGAAAAAAGTGACAAAGTTGATTTTGACTAGGGTCGCCCCTAGTCCAAAATTTAAAATGTATTTCCTACTTGGTTCTTTGCTTAAAAAATTTTTAGAATGTTTTATTTGTATTTGTTTTGAGCACTAGAATATTTATGCAAAGTTTCAAACCATTTGGATAAACCCTCGAAGAAAAAAAGTGACAAATTGATTTTGACTAGATCTGTCCCAAGTTCATAATTGAAAATGTATTTCCTACTTGGTTCTTTGCTCAAAAAATTTTAGGATGTTTTATTTGTATTTGTTTTAAGCACTAAAATATTAATGCAAAGTTTCAATCCATTTGGATAAACCCTCGAAGAAAAAAGTGACAAAGTTGATTTTGACTAGGGTCGCCCCTAGTCCAAAATTGAAAATGTATTTCCTACTT